ATACAGTAGCAAATTCTTCATTTGAATAAAAGAAGGAATATTGAATGTTGTAAGAATCGAGCGTTTATAAGCCTAGGGCTAATGTGGTCTCAACGAAATTGAAACTGCATATCGGTGCCAGATAAACGGTACTTACGAATCAGCGCTTCTATCACAACCCTTCATATGCAACCACAAACCACCAACTAGCCACCAAATATATATATATATATATGTATATATATATATTGTTTACGGCTCGTCAGTTGCAGGAGAAGTGTAGAGAAAGACACCAGCCGTGGTAATCGCTTTTCGTTGATTTCACCAAGGCATTTGATACGGGGAACCGCAAGGCATTGTGACTGGTTTTGGGTAAGTTTGGTTGCCCGCGTAAGTCTATAACTTTAATTGAATGTCTGCACAGTGGTATGCGGGTGAGGTTGCAGCTGAGTGGACAGACCTTCGATGACTTTGCAGTTGTCACTGGTGTAAAGCAAGGCTGTGTCTTAGCTCCTCCTCTGTTTAATATCTATCTTCATGCACTGATGTCTTGTGCTTTGATGCCGCATGTGCTTACGGTGTATTTGTGCGCCATCGTATTGATGGTGGTTTGCTGAACATCCGTCGTTTCGGTTCGAGAACCTTAGTCTGTGAGACAACTAACCGTACGTTGCTGTCTGCTGACGACTGTGCGTTGTTTGCACACAGCGCGGATGGTTCGCAACACATGCTTAGTGCTCTGACTATGACAGCGGCCAAATTCGGGCCCACCATCAACACAAGCAAAACTGTCTGTCTCTTCCATCCCTCACCTGATGTGTAATCTTCAATATTGCCGCGAATCAGCATTGATGCTGAAGTATTGGAAACCACCTCCCACTTCTGCCACCTTGGGACTGTGACGTCGACTGACCAGCAGCTACACAGCGAGCTGCGTATCCGCGTCTCGAAGGTAATGGCGGCATTCTGGAAGTTAGAGTAGCGAGTGTGGAACGGCCATCAGCTTACCTTTGGCACCAAGTTGATGGTGCACAACGCAATGGTGCTGTCCGTTCTTCTATCCAGCAGCGAAACGTGGACGATGTATGGGGCGGGAAGTGCGATATCTCGAGCGGTTCCATCAAAAGTGTTTACGACGGACTGCGCATCGGTCGGTGCGACAGAGTTGCGGACACTGAAGCGTTGCGTGGAAGTGGAATGTATGCAGTGGACTGCATACATTTGCTAAGACACATGAGGTAGCTCGGTGATGTGTCGCGTATGGATTCTGCGCGGATACCGAAACAACTATTATATGGTCAGTTGAGTGTTGTTAAGTGGCATGCGGGGAAACCGAAGCTTCGTTACCAAGACATGATGAAAGAGTGCTTCTCACGTTCTAATCCTGATTGCATGTCATGGGGATCGAAGGTGGTTGATCGGCGTTCATGGCGCCATCTGATCAGGAAGGCAGTTGCCGAGGTGCAAGCGAAATCTCTCGTGCATGCGTAGAATGAGCGGCAATTGCGAAACTAACAGGCGCGGATGGGTTGTACTCTACTGACGTCGGACACGTGGTGCTGTAGCACTTGCGGTAGCGAGTGCCTGAGTAAGGAAGGCCTAGTGAGCCATGAGCGAGGCAACTTGGGGCCAACACCGAAAGGCCGACGAGCCCTAGATATAACGTAGGCAGAACCGGCGCAGCATTTTTAGGTACGCTGTATTCGATTTACTAACCCCTTGCTTGCATGCTGGGTCTCTTTATTTCAGGTGTTGGGTGTGCTATATTGTCTCTACGTGATCTATGTTCTGTTATCTTACACACGTCGCTCAACTTTATGTTAGTTAACTATGATAACATTTTCGTGTTTGTGGCATTTCCTTAACATATATTTGCTGACGTCTTGAACCTATAGCGGATTATTTTGGCAACCAATTTCTTTCCTATACTCATTTATTGATGTGTTGTGTCCGTATGTCTGGATACATCACTCAACTTATTTTATTTGATATTGTCGTTTCAAGTGATTGGCTGTTGCTTGACATCCCCGGTGTGGTTGCGCGTGGTGTGCATGTTAACGTGTTGCCTACCTGGCTATTGTCTGTCTTTATTGTCCCATACTTAGGCTGATGTTACTTCATGATTTTTCTTCATTGCAGTTGGGCTAAACCAACTTACACTTACACTAGGTATTTTAAGGCTGGTTAAAATTTATTCCACCTTATGTGTTTTGTTCTGCCCATGTAAATAGTCTTCTAGCAACTTGCACTTGTTGCTTTCTCTATGTTGGTTATCTGCGCTAACTTTATCGCGCTTGTGGCATTTGAATAACTTGTGGACAGTTTGTACTTATCGCGCACTCTTTGCTAATCAACTTCCTTCATCTGCTAATTTAGCGAAGAGTTATGTCGTCATAGCCGTATCCTATGGCAGGTATATTTTATTTGATATTGTCGTTTCAAGTGATTGGCTGTTGCTTGATATCCCTAGTGTGACTGCGCTCGATGTGCATGTTGACAAGGTGCCTACCTGGCTATTGTCTGTCTTTATTGTCTCATGCTTAGACTGCTGTTACATTCATGATTTTTCTTCATTGCAGTTGGGCTAAACCAACTTACACTTACACTAGGTATTTTAATGCTGGTTAAAATTCATTCCATCTTGTTTTTGTTCTGCCTACGTGAATAGTCCTCTGGCAACTTGCACTCTTTACTTTCGCTAATTGTGGTTATCTTCGTTAACTTTATCGTGTTTGTGGCATTTTTGAATAACTTGTGAACATGTACTTATCGCGGATTCGTTGCTAATCAGCTTACTTCATATGCTAATTTAGCGAAGAGTTATGTTGGCATAGCTGCATGCTTTGGTAGATATATTTTGTTTGATAATGTCATTTCAAGGGATTGGCTTTTGGTTGATATCCCCGGTGTGACTGCGCTTGATGTGCATGTTGACAAGGTGCCTACCTGTTTATTGCCCATTACCTCGTCCATACTGGCTTTAGGAGACAGTTGGTCATTGCTGGAGGGGACGGGGTGCACGGTCCTTGTGGTCGTGTTAGGATCAAATTTTGGTTCCATGCACTCAGTGTGGAGCGGACTACGGTCCAGCCACCGTCTTGTGTGCGTTTGATTCCCAGCTACAGTGTGCTTGTGTTTGCCTGTGAAGGATTATGGACCGGCTCCGTTGATGAAACGTGGCTTCCATTCACATGCCTCCCGGTCTTATTCCTTCGGGTTTACACTGGATATTTTGTGCGTGCTTGGAACAGTAGGTGGTGCAGCGCATGCCACTTATGGTCCCTCTGTAGGCGCAAGCGTCCTGCGGCTGGCCACAGTGACAGACAAATCCGAAACCGGATGTCGCCAACCAAGTATGTGTCCATGCCCCATGCTCTCTCCAGTCCCCATATTTAGCTGTCATCCAGTTCAAGCGGAATGATATGACAAGCTGGGATGCTATCCATTAGCGACTACCATAAAACGATATGGCAATGTGTTTTATGCACCTTGATTCCCAACAGAAACAAATGAGCAGTTAATAAGTGTTCATCTGCCAAGTATAAATGGTTGGGACTGTAAGCCCTCGAGCATAGTGTTCATGACTTGCTGCCAATAGGTAGGAGAATTCGCACAAGTTTGATTAACTATTTTAGCTTCCGAATGTATAGTGCACATAAAGTGTAGTGTATATGCTAATCTGTTCCTTCAGTGGCTCTCTTTGGTTCAGCATTACGCTGTGAGCTAGAAGCCATGATGGGAGTCTTCTCAATTTGGTATATTCAGCCCGGGTGCGCCTACCTCTATGCATCAGCACAGAACACACTGCCATTGAGATCTACTAGCTTCTTACGCGCCATCTTTTCTGGAACCAAACAGTCGTCCACCACATCAAGCATCTGATACCCCAACCGTGCCTCATCATTCAGGGACGGCCTACCACGGGTGAATTCCGCAAAGTACTTAAACGCGGTGTTCCTTGAAGGCACATCATCGACAAACGCACTACACTATCGCTCAACGTTCTGGTGCCGCTTTAAACCACATAGAAAATCATCACCCACCGATGACATCAGCTGAGTTCCATACTCACAGTCAGATTCTAGCAAACCATATGACTTGTGAGCTGTACTTGGCTGCTGATAAAAGGTTCTGTGTGTGGAAATCACTGAACAATGTTAAGAATGGATTATAGTTCACATTTTTCTTAACAGGTCACCTGCACATAAACTGTGTACGGCGTATACGGACATTTATTGAATCGCCCTCGTATTGATCGCTACTATGAGACGAATGAGAGTGAGCAATCGAGGTAATATGCAGCCAAAACGCATATGGAAGAAAACGTTGCTATGTCCAAGCTTCAGTGCGGTATCACACCACGGCTTGCTAATTGGTTAAGCCAAGCAGTTTGAGTAGCCTGTCACATCACAAAGCATGTTGATTTGTGCACTGGTTGTGTGTTAACAAAATAGCTGTAGGAGCAACAAAACTTCATCTGTCGTTAAGATATAATAATGGTGGAAGTGCTAACTTATACCTGTTTTGTTTTTGGTATGGATCCACGATTGGAGGAGGCAGATCGTCTACTGGGAGATCGGAAAACGTCGGAATGTTTAACTGTACTGCAGGAAATTGGTCAATATCCTGAAACCGCATGGAGAAAAGCACGTCGCATATATGTCGAAAGTAAATGCATTCCTCAGTGCATTCATTACATTTAGTCATGGGGATGCCCGAAGAGCCGAGAAAGGAAGCAATAAAGAATGCCTTTACTGAGGCCATCAATGAAGTCAAAGCCGGTCTGGACGTAGACGGAGACCACTCAGACTGTCTAACAGTTAGCCAACAGTCCCGTTTTATTTATCTGAACGTCGCGGTTTAGTGGTACGGAATATGTATGAACCATCTATCTGTGCTAGAAGGGGTCAATGAGAGAATAAAGAAAGCATACGTTATGAAGGAAGTATGGGAGGTTCGTATGATCATGTCTGAATTTATATTTGAGGGAAATCACAGAAGGCTATCAGAAGTAATCCTACCAATGCACTCGCGCACAGTTGCATGGGGGTCTGGTAATACCAACACATTCTTGCCCCATGACTTTCACTTTTAGGTGCTTCAACGTGACTGATTTGCCAGGAATCCAAAGGCTTTTTGCCAAGGCCTTTTTCACACAGCCGCCAAATTCAACCTATGAAGAGGTGGGTTTGTCAAGCTTATCGATCAAAGTTTTCGTTCACCAGGCCTTGGACTTTCTGAATCGTTCGCGGCAGCGTAAGTGACGCACACCGCTGGTACACTATTTCTCACAGTTGCGGATGACATGCCTGTAAGCAATTATCTAGTTACTGCGAAATGTTATCAACGTCTACATAATAATGAAATGGCAGCGCAGTTCTGCAACAAAGTGCTCGAATTTTCTGACGAAGGCTTCGAAGTTGCTGAGGTGAGAGGTGTTTATCCAATCTTTCAATCATGGTTCCATGTTAGGCAAAAGAAGAAGCCAGAAAAATATTGAAAAAACTGTGACCTCTCCAGTTATAGCAAATGGCTTCCGCTTGCTGGACATTCACACACTGTTGGAGCATAAAAGCTCATTCTTGATTTGACTTGCTATGTTTTCTCGTGCTTTCTGTGATATACATGATCACACATTGCCATCCAATCATTGCGCTTAATTCGCTCTCTCGTCTGGCGTCAGAATGCGTGACCATGATTAGATGTTCGGTGTTATGTCTGAAAGCGCTTACATCTTATTTATTACGTTCAGCCAAGACAAGGTAACTTTGCCTAACTTAATTCACTGTAAGCAATTCATCGTGGTCCTCCGACATGCCCTTAAATTTCCTATGTATTTCATTTCATGTAGTATTAGAATTTCGTATTTCCGAATACACATTGATCTGTCTTTTCTAGCTTTTGTGTTTATGGTTCCTCATAGACAGCGATACGACTGTGCGGGCCTGACCATTGCACTTTAGCACACAACACTGCGCTCACGTGGTACGCTATAACTCAGGGGCTGTTTCAGGTGAAGGACAACGTGCGAGACAGCAGCTAGAGGGCTGGCAATAGACACAGTATCTCACTGAAGAATTTGGTAAAATGTACTGCCTAATAGTGCAAAATTACCCGCAAATCATAACAGAACTGTATGCACTGCTTCAAGGGAACGCGCACCTCTGCATGCTGCTAGTATATAACGTATGTAGGTTGTGACTTATTCCCATTGAGTCAGAAATTAACAATAGCGCGAAGAATACACTTTTCCGTAATTCACTTCAGGCATCTGCAAGTATAAAACAAAATTAAAACGTAAATAAGCTGCGAAAGTTTCGTCCCACATAGATAACTGAACATAGAGGAAACCACGGTTCTGTAGAGCGGTAGGAAATATTTATCAATAGCTGGTTCACTCGGACCAGGCGGCATACACAAACACACGTAATCATCACTAAATAATTAGTGTTGGACCGTTCATGACCAGGGTAAACTCAAGCTTGTAAAAGAGCAAGCTGTTTACACAGCCCTGGTTTCAACACCCTGATTGCAATGGCTTCTGCGATGACCAGTAGATGTTTCTTAGGCTTTATTAAGTAGCATCTAGGAACGGTACAAACAATGTTAGGTACTCATTCAACCTAACTTGATGGCGAATTTCTACCAAGTGTTTCAGTATGGAACTTGTGATGTTCTTTACCGTATCTTTGCGCAGGGATGCAGGGCCGTGGTCAGCCATCCGTTTGAAAATGCACCTGGTCCTGTGTCTAACATATCTTGCATCACAGGTGCAAGTGGATTGATATAAGGATGAATTCAGACCGGACCGGAAGTTTGTCCTTTACGTGCAAGGAAATCAGTGATCTCCTCTCGGCAAGTAGTTTTAGTTTAGCAGTTGGGTACTTCCGGGCCACAGCGGTTAAAGTATATTATGCAACATATAGGAAGCAATGTCACCCTTAAAAGGAACTGTATAAAAGACACCCTTTTTCGGCACTGTAACTACGGATTTGGCGGCACCAGGTGGAATGAGATGCGTTTTAATGAATGGGGTCGGCTACATATTTTCTTGCAGGGTGCTGAAGATGAGCTTTGTTTCTCTTTCGAGCTTTTCAGGACTGCAGATGGCTCTTGCGCGATAGTACAGTCAACGAATTAACTTTCGCTTGTATATCAGAGGTACAAAACTGGGAAAGTGGATGTATTGACCTGCCCAGTCAATAAACAAAGAGATATGAACCAGACACTAACTCGGTTATGTATGATAAGCCTAATTTACACACCAGCAAGAGATCACCTGCCTAGGAACACATAAATTTCTGCGTCGCGTTTGCATCTAATCCCTGAATCTTATCAAGAAAGTGTGTTCAGTTTTCATGGAATCACCTAGCAATGTATGAAGCAAGGGTTTCTGATGGAATTGGATTATGAGCCGACACGAAGTAAACCATGCTCCCGTCCATCTGCCTCCTGAATATGTTGCGTTGAATTTACGGAGGCAATTCGGTAATGTGTGGAGCATGGTGAGATCGAGTGCAGACTAACCCTAAATAAATTATATGTGCAAACGTCCTGCGTTAATTCAAAATCACAACGGCGAGGAAACATATGGTTAAGGCCACCAAGTCCCAATAATAAAGCAGTGCGCGGTGGTTAGTCATTAAGTTGGACTACGATTACTTATCTTTTATGTGCGGTAGCTCTTATTTAGGCAAGCTGTATCCACCGGATACTACTGCATCACTGCAATCCTACAGATCAAGCGCATTTATTACTGTCTATACTATGCTTACACGCCAATGTGATCCAACCGCAGGGACTTCCATTTAACTACTTGCATTAGTGAGACACATAGCCGTGGTAGTTGACTAAGTGGGATCTCATTGACTTCTAATTGGTACTTTACAAACTTATGCTAAAGTCCACAGGCAGCAGTAACATTGGGCCTAACATCCTGCTGTGTCAAGGCACCATTGTGTTAACACGATGGGTGGTAGACTAAATGCTGGGGAAGGCTGAGCCGTCATGCCACTTCGTATAAGTTACGGAAGTATGGGATCGTCGATACAGCTGCTTGGGCATGCAGCATTTTGCTGTCTCTGCAAACTTAGCGGCATCTGTGGGATACACTTTAAAACGATGGCGACACGGCCTTAACTTCGGTAGTTGGACAATGTCAACCTTATATTTGCGAATGTGATTCCAGAAATCAATAAGCATTTCCAGCGCACACTGCCAGTCCAAGGAGCATCAAACTCCAAAGAGAAGTTAAACGAGTCAGGTCAGCATGTGAAACCTTACCTTCTTGCATGTTTTCCGTGTGACATTGAGTGTGCTCTGCTGAGATAGAAATGATCCTCCAATAAACAAGACTCGTCATTATTATCATAATACACTTGAGCTAGAGGTGGGAAGCACCTCAGCTACGTAACGCAGTACATAAAAGGAAAAAGCGAACAATGCAACAGACGCAAGCCAGTTGAGCGACCGGTAACGGATGGGCATCGTTCCGGTAAGCTACCAGCCGACTACTATGCAGCAAAAAATACCATGCAAAATTATATAAGGCTAAATAGTGAGATCGTGGTTGGAGGGGTAACTAAGGGGGATGGGGTGCGACAACCAAACTCAGAGCACGAACGCCACTGAGGTCGGTTCCTAGCCATGTCAGCAAATGCTTCCTGCCAAACGTGTTCATCGTCTTTCGGACTCCAATCAGGAAACCAAGATGTTCCAATCGAGGCCAGGATCAAAGTAAGAGTCTTCATTCCTCTGGACCAATTCATCGCTTGGCTACCTTACCTCTTCTTCCATCCACACCCCCGGAGCGTCTAAAACGCACAGCGCGGAAGTTGGTGGTGATAACCAAGACTGGTGCATACATACTGGTGTATACATCAGAGAACCTATGGTAGGTTGAGGCTGGTGGTGTCTGGATCCTTATAAATGCCCTATCCCCTGCTGCTACTGTTGTGCCAAGGGCCCTTGTCCTGGACGCCTCCTCGTGGCGACCACTGAGTGGGCGTTGGGTTACGCCCTTCTCCCTGCAAACATCAAGGACACCAATCTGCATGATTCAGTGAACTGACCATGTGGTAGACTCGCTGCATTTCTAGTACAAATTTAATCGAATGCTTTGGCTGAGGACCCGAGTCGTTCTCCTGTCAGTTGTGGGCGCCCTGTCAGTACCCTAGTCCATCCTCTTCGTAGGTTAGGAAGTGGTCGTTGACCCTCTTCCAGTAAAAGCTAGCCATGGGAGATAACATGTCAACGGGCTGTAAGCTCAAAGCTCGATTGGCGTAGAGCAGGAGCGCCACGCATTTTCTCTGACGGTGGGATGGCACCTCAGGTGCTCAATAGTTTTCTACTGCCCGCCTGAAACCAGGCAGTCCCTGGTCAAATTGGTGCAAACCCGCCAAAAACCCACCTGCGTCTGGTAGTAGTCCCAAGTGCGAATCCTTCTACGGTCGCAAAACATATATACATCGTTCCAGTACCTCAAAATCTGCTTGTGACGGCCATCAAGCAGATCCTAATTTGTATCTGCAATCACATTCCCGAGCTGGATCTGCTCCCCACTGCCTTGTGGGTCAGGCTATTGAGCCTAAAGCACGGGGTAGAGTACATCAAGCAAAGCTCCGAAGCACAATCATCACATCGCGTGCGATTGCCCACCGATGCAATCGTAGGCCTGCGCGCAAAGCACACAGTATCAGGTGCTGAAACGTGCTCACACTACTGGACCGGAACTCCAGTGAGCGCCCCGAGCAACGCAATGCACTTGTCGCGATGGAACTGGCGCGTTACCACATCGATATTGCGGCGGTCAGTATGCTTCGGCTCGCTGAACAAGGTAAGTTGCATGAAGCAGGTGCTAGCTACACATTCTACTTGGTGGGTACCGCCGCCTCAGCACCACGTGAAGATGAGGTCGGGGATTTGTAACATCTGATCGCCTAAATGGCCAGCTGGTGGGCGAACAAACAGGCACCTACGCGCGACTGATGACTGTTCGCCTATGATTCGGGAGAGGTAAGTTTGCCACTTTTATAAGCAGTTACGGTCCGCCCATGTGTTATCCTGATGATACGCGTGATCAATTCTACACTCAGCTATCCTCCGTGATACGGTCTGTGTCGAGGAGCGAGCGGCAATATCGGCAGGGTGATTTCAACCCGAGCTTTGGGCATAATGCATCGGTGTGGACAGATGTTATTGGCCCGGATGGCATTAAATCGATGAATGAGAACCGTGACATGTGCAGCTCTCACTGTGTGCCCCTCAAGGTCTGATACTAACGAACATTCCGTCTGCAATGAGTACGGGTGAAATAGAAACATGGACATATATAGGGAGTGGACACGCACGGATGCTCGAATATATCATCGTAGGTCAGCGTGACATGAGTGGATTGCGCATGACACGTGTGCTGCTTAGAGCTGATTGCGGCACTGATCACAAATTAGTGCGGACCAAACTGTACATATATTTTCGTAAATATATGTATTGCACTCCCGCCGTGAACCAGCGTAAATGTAACCTTCTCTCCCTCGTTATTGTGACGAAACGTATTGAGCTGGAGAAGGCGATGGCTGCATGCCTGTGTGATGTGGACTGCATAGCCACAGTGGGCGACCTGTAGCACTACGTTCGCGACCAGATGACAGCTGCTGCCGAGGAGAACATCGGGCGCGCAAAATGTAAGCGGCCTAAATGTTTTGATGGGAACAATGCGACGATTGGCGCATCGGTGTCGGAGAAGAATGTAGCATTTGCTACACATGTTGTTGACCCAAGTAACTTGGAGAAGAAAAGAAAGTTTCGCAATATTCGACGGC